TAAGAGTACAGCACTAAGAGTACAGCACTAATGCCGCTATGACGGCTGCGGAGTACAGCACTAATGCCGCTATGACGGCTGCGGAGTACAGCACTAAGAGTACAGCACTAATGCCGCTATGACGGCTGCGGAGTACAGCACTAATGCCGCTATGACGGCTGCGGAGTACAGCACTAAGAGTACAGCACTAATGCCGCTATGACGGCTGCGGAGTACAGCACTAATGCCGCTATGACGGCTGCGGAGTACAGCACTAAGAGTACAGCACTAATGCCGCTATGACGGCTGCGGAGTACAGCACTAAGAGTACAGCACTAATGCCGCTATGACGGCTGCGGAGTACAGCACTAATGCCGCTATGACGGCTGCGGAGTACAGCACTAATGCCGCTATGACGGCTGCGGAGTACAGCACTAATGCTGCTATGACGGGGGCTGCTAACATAGCAACACTGACACCGTTAACAGGCGTAAATCTGCACAGTTTCTGCCGGGTGGTAGCATGGCCTTTAGTAATGGAATGAGATTAAGTACAGGGAGGCCGTCCGATTTTCCCTTATAATGAGAGTCAATGTCCTAAATGTCGAGCTTGCAGAGGATGCACTATAATTTGTTAACGGTGACAATGAAGACATATTTAGTCAATTTCTATGCGCTCAATGTAGGACGAGAGCGGGTTGGTTTCTTTCAAACATTCTGCGGAACATTATTTTAACAAAGGCAGTGCTGTAATTGCATGCTGAAACTGCACCATCGATTTTACCACAATACAGATGTTAGACTTTCCAATCAGTACATCTGTTAAATATGGCCCAGGGGAGAATGCTCTGCAGCAAGTGAACCCCCCCCCCCCCGAAGGCAGCAGGGAGTGTCACCTTGAGCTCTGAAAGCCAGTGCTGCTGCACTGGCAGACGTGCACACAGACATCCTTAACATCTCGCTGGCCCAGGCTATCATCTCGCACCATGTTAAGCACTCAGTCACTGTACCACTGTACCTAAAAGGGCCACATACATCCTGTATGAATGACTTCCATCCAGTGGGGCTCACCTCACTGGCCATGAGGAAAATAGTCTTCTCCTAAATATTGACAAGACTGAGGAGCTAGTCTGGATTTCAGGAAGAAGGCTCAAATGTCCCCACAATGTAATTAAAACCTATTTTTTTTTTTACATCGTGAGGACAATTTTTCTGGTCCCCTCAATGATCTGTGAATGCAATCAAAAAACTAAAAATGCCAAAAGTCTTGCATTTTGTTTGTTTACTTATGGTTAAGGTTAAGGCTGGTTAAGAGCGTCATGTATGGATTACAGTTAGAAATGAGTGGAGAGTCCCCACAAAGTTATAATTTCAAACCTGTATGTGTGTGTGCGTGTGTGAGCGAGAGAGAGAGAGAGAGAGAGAGAGAGAGAGAGAGAGAGAGAGAAAGAGAGACATTCACTCACTGTGTAAGATGACTGTGCACAGAGGTTGCGAGAGCAACGGGGCCCCTAACAGCAGGTTGGATGCCTGTGGCAGAATTGGGTGTGAGACCCCAGACAAGATCATCACCCAGAGACAGAAGAAGGATGGGCTGGGGCAGTAAGAGTGATGATGATTATGGTGATAATGATGGTGATAATGATAATGATAATGGTGATGGTGATTATGATTATGATTATGGTGATAATGTTGATGATGATGGTGGTGATGATGATGATGATGATGATTATGGTGATAATGATGATGATAATGATGATGGTGATGGTGATTATGGTTATGATGATGATGATGGTGATGATGGTGATGATTATGGTGATAATGATGATGATAATGATGATGATGATGATGATAATGATGAGTATGACCCCCATGTCTGCGGCCCCGCCTCCATGTGCGCAGGGTGCGTGTGCATGTCAAGCACAAGCGCACACGTGTGCATACTAACACTCTGTTACTCTCTTACACACTGCAGACACGCATAAAACTGTATATATGCTGATCTTTACTATCCCTGCAATTAAAAGAACTTGGCACCAAATTTTCCTTCTCGATTACTGGTCAATATGGCAGAAGGATGATGGCGTATAGCGGAGGAGTGTCCACAAATAGAGCCCAAACCCAAAATCTGTAGCCATTTACATGTGTATTTTTACAGGTGACACCGTCACTGGGACATGAGGGACGTTCAGGCTCCTTTACAGAGATTTACAGTTACTTACTGAGCAGATGCTTTTATCCAGATCATACATTTGAGCGGGGGGTCAGACAGGCGCCGGAGCAATCGGGGGGGCTTCAGTCAGGGGGCCAACGGTGACATAACTCTGCCCACCCTGGGATTCGACCCGGCAAACTTCTGATCGTGAGGACAGCATGCTAACTCACTGAGGTACACAGGGCTGCAGATAGATGGGTTCGCTCTGCCCTCTAGAGCATCTCTGTCCTAATTCAGGCCCCACGTCACCATTTTTAAATCATATTCATAAAATCATCAATCATCCTCAGATTGGAAACACTGCTGTAGGTCAATAATTATCATGAAACCCAAAGTAAAAATCTGTTTACAGCTGATTATTAACGTGACTCCTATCACTGGGACAAGGGGACCTGTCCAGACAGCCTCACTGGGATCTACCCCATTCCTGTAGATCAATAATAACCACAAAACACCTTTACTGGGATTACATCACTGACAAAGACACCTTTACTGGGATTACATCACTGACAAAGACATCTTTACTGGGGTCACATCACTGACAAAGACACCTTTACTGGGATTACATCACTGACAAAGACACCTTTACTGGGGTCACATCACTGTCACAGACACCTTTACTGGGAAGATCTGTAAGACTTCAGGGTTGCTTCCATCATCATTTACACCAGGAGAGAAGAATGGAAACAGGCTCCCAGTGAATGTGCCTTTAAAGGTGTAGATGAGTGACATGTCAGCGGGGTTGAAGAAGGACACCTCCCCCCTGTCATAGTCCAGCTGCACTCTGATCCTCTGCGGTTTCCTCTCCAGTCTCAGGCGGGTTTGCGGTGAATCGCATGCTGTATACACATCACCTTCCCTCAGACCTACAACCCAGAATCCATTTTCTAGCTTGTATCTAATCCCCCCCTTCCTGTTAACAGACTCTGCTGCTACTCCTGCTGTCCACTCAGGTTTGTCCCCCACCTCCACCTCCCAGCTGTGTTTTCCTGAGTTAAACCCCTCAGATCCCAGCACTCCCACGCAGCAGGAGAATCTCTCTGGGTTGTCAGGAAGTTGCTGATAAACATCAGTGTTTCTCACGCTGGTCAGATCATCAGACACTGAGAGCCAGGGGGCTGCAGTGTTTGGGTCCAGAGTCACAGGAGCTGTGGGTTGAAGAGGAAGCTGCAGTTAATAATCTGTCTCAATGCAGTAAAAACCATCAGTGTTATAACATTAACATCTTACAGTGAGGTAGTATTATCAATAAAGTGATTATATAGAAATTGTAGAAAAATAAAAGGGTTATGATAACAGACCACGTTTCACTGTGTCAGTTAAGGTCAAACATTTTATCTAATATAGACTGACACAGATTTGTGTGAAAACTAGAAATAATAATTTAAGACCTTTTATAAAAGAAAACTGTTTTTTGGTCAATATTTTAAGAAGAATGCCAACACATTAACAATTATTAA